TCTGTGCCCTTAGACATTCTTTGTTAGCAACTGATATGATGAATAGTTTAAAGATATATTTATGTTTCTGTATTGAAAAAAAGGCTTTTAAAATAAAAATTACGTTGGTTCCGATTAGGAGTAATAAAACCTAAAAGAATGAAGGAACTTCCTTTAGTCAGTCGCCCTGATTACGCAACTTGCTGTTGGCACATTCTGCTACCAGGAAGTGGGCTTAAAATTCCCAAAGTGCTTATGAGAAGGAAAGAAGATTTGGTAGAAAATGCAGACATGCTCTGTCCTCTTATCACTTCCTGCTTCTGCAGAAGTCAGAGGTGGATCAATGATCTTCAGCTGTCAGTAGCAGGATCATCTCAGCTCCTCCTACGCTCAGACGCGTTTTCTGCAGGGCAAAAGCTTCACTGCTAAATAAGGAAGACGGCTTCACAGATCCGTGTGTCATCTCTGAACCGGAACTGAAGGCAACGCCGGCAGCTGGGCTGATGTTGCACGAAGCAGTGAGAAAGACTTGTTTCAGCACTGGAAAAGGGATTCACTGACAAATCAGGAAAAGTTGGAGAGCAGCCCGAGGCAGCGCATTTAGAGGAGCTGAGAAAAGCCTGCAGCAGAAGCAGGCAGAATCAGAGCAGATGTTTCACTCCGACAAGTAGGAAGGCTCTGATAACAGCACAGAGAAGGCAACTCAGACAGAAATGAATTCATGCAGAGCAGCACACATAGTTAATAGTTGACAGAGAACAGTCTAATAAGAGAGCTAGCCAGGTAACACAGGTATACCAATAAAATGACCACGCCAACTTCTGCTTACCTGTGCACAGATTCTTAAATTCCTCGTAGTCGGCCCCTGTTCCTCCAGGGAGAATCGTGGAGCCCTCATATTTGAATGCAGCCCTGCAGAAGGAGGAGCGCATTATTGTTGCACATTACATCAATACTTTAAGCTATAACTGAGTTTAATTCCTGAACAACAAGAGTTAGAAAAACATCTGAGAGATGCATCAGTAGAGATGAGTTTAAGTCAATGACAGGTTGATGGGTTCTGATAGGTGGTGGCTCATTCTGCTGCATCACTAAGAACTCCAGTTATTTTCTGTCACATGTTAACCAACAGGGTGAAGTTTATTAAAACTGCATAATAGATTAGGCTTTAATAAGAATCGACTGCAGAGTATATTATGATCTCTATAAAAAGGTGGGGTCCACTTCATAGAAAACCGGAAATTGGCACCAGCCAAGAAAGGCGCGATCAGTGCATCTCTCCTCAGACTGCTGGGACCACCACCTCCCCCTCAGCAGCAGACACAGATCAGCCATGTTTCTGTGACATCACAATAGCATCCAGCTCTATGAATACAGGACAAAGTAAATTACTTCTGCCCCACTGGGCCTCAGAATCAGCCAAAATGTAGAGCTGCAAAATGTCTGAGGCAGGAGGAGAAGGAGAGCTGCAGGTTCTTAACGTTCCTCCTTTTAAGTTATTTAAAAAAAATTAAATTTAAGTGCGACACAGAACATGCCTGACTCCTTATAATCTTTATTTGCTCCTTCAGCCTCTGCAACCAAGCTGCTCGTGTTTAAACCGCAGCATTAATCTCTCCCAATTAAAATTGAAATGTCATCCTCTGATTAATCTAATTAAAAAACATAATTAAGAGCATTTTCAGCAGCCGAAGAGCGTAACAGTTGACGATTAATCCGATTCCGTCGCACTTTATATCTGGGACCCGTGTCTGTTTCTTTTTTAGTGAGAAAATAAATAAAATGATGCGATTTTTGAATGGACTTACCAGCTGGTTTCCGTGTTATCATCTCTAACATCGTTATACGCTTCTCTGCAAGCCTCCTTATCGATCTGAGTTGCCATCGTTGATGAAGATAGTAGTCGGTGGGGAAATAAGCCTTAAATCGGAGCGAACCGTGTTTGGGTCAAACGGCAGAAACAAGTGTTTAATTGAAGCGGTGGATGCTGCGCATCGGAGAGGCTGTGCGCCGAGAGGAGGACGGGAGTCTGCGGGAGCTGGTGCGGGGCCTGGCTGAGTTAACGGACCGACGCGGCTCCTCTGATAGAAACTGGGCTCATTTCCTGGATGGTTCCGCTTTATGGGCGGTGTTGATGTTAGTCAATCAGGCTGCGGCACACTCGGTTCCAGACAGGAGACACTGTGAGCTTTCCTCCTCCTTCTGGCCGCTGGCAGATCGCAGTAAATTACAATAAACACACAGAAGTGGCTTCCGGAAAAGACCCTTCAAAATAAGGTACACATTTGTATAGCTGTGACGCAGACATAGGCTAATATACCAATAATATTTGACCTATTATTATTGTATTGAAAATGTCTGTATTTAATTACTTTGACCTTGAAAATGTGCATGTTACTGCCAAGGCAAAAAATAAAAAATAAAAAAAAATACTATTATTACATCTTTGATTTTGTGGTTTTTCTTAGATGGTTTTCCTTTAAACTGAAAACGTCCTTAAATTATTTTCTATTATAACCTCCCAAAGAAGATCCATTACTGGTTTACAGGGGGTTAACTAGTGTTTTTTCTATGGAATGTGCCCTATAGCTTCCTAGTTGTTCCTAGGTTCAAAATGAAGAGGCTTTATTTCATTGGGAAATTTAGGAAACAATCCATCTTGGTTTCTACAATGTTACATTACAAAACCTTACTCAATGTTTTCTAGTATCTTTTTAAAGGTTTAATTCCTTTATACTGAACCTGCACGCCAGGAAATGTGATCTTAATGTTCTTATGAGGTCACAGGAAAAGTTTAAGTCATAATATCTAAGGTTGACCTCTAGGGAACTAGAACAGATTATTTCCTGAAGAGTTTGCTAAGGTCATAACATCTTTCACCTCCATGTTCAGGTAACATTCTCTGATACTTACATACTGTCCACCAGTCAGGAGCCTTTAGAGAAAGCTTTTTGAATGTTTTTTTTTTTTTTTTTTTTTTTTTTTTTTTTTTTTTTTTTTTTTTTTTTTTTTTTTTTGATTTGGTAGGTCCAATTCTGACTTAGGAAAAAACAGACTTTGTTTAGAATAATATAAATTATGGGTTCTATGCAAAACTCCAATGCTTCCTGTACTTCAGCTCTTTTGTTACCTGTCTTTCATCACTGGATGGACTGATTAATCCAGATGTGCGTCAACATGGTTACTGAGACAATGCACACCTGGATTAATCAGTTCATCCAGTATAAAAAGACAGGAAACAAAAGAGCTGCCTTAGTATAGGTTCAGGAAGTAGTGGGGATGTGCGTAGAGCCCATTGGATTTTCAATTGTATAATAAGCCATTTAACCATTGTGCAATTTAAATAATGACATTGTAGTATAATTAATATTTGAATGATGTATTGCATAAATAAATAAATGCATTTTAAAATAACTTGTAATTATTTTCTTAAAGAAATATTTGAATCATTTAGTTGGGTATTTTTTTAATTGTACATTCTATAATTTCATTATGTGATATTTAATGATGTGTTAGATATATAACAAATATATTTTTCAAATAACATTTAATTATTCAATTTATGATTTAAAAATTGATTAATAACCATTATGCACACTTATATTCAATTGTGTGTTTCATAATTTCATGATATATACCTAATACTCAAATAATATGTTAGTTAAATACATAAAAATACATCTAATTATTTTAAATTTTGAATCTTTTAAATAGTTTGAAGGGGTATTTATTTAATAGTGCATTTCTTAATTCTATGGTATATCTAAGTTTTGAACCATTTTTCGATACATAAATGTTCCCATGATTTATTTCAGGGGAAACTTACCATTATATAGTTCAAGACATATTTTGGCTTTCCATATACCTCAGGGATGACATCACAATGATAGTGGAAACCATCTCATGATCCCCCCCATTTGGCGTCCTGGGATCCTGGGGGGTCAGTCCCAATCGCCACTTTGAGTACTGCTGCTCCAGAGAGCCTCCTGACCCCTTTCATCACTGGCCTCCTGTTCATTTGTTAATGGATTAGATTCTTAGTTTATTCTTGGGTTCATAACTATTATACACTGTGATCTACAGAACTATATGAAGGCTGCAGAATAGGCCACTTCCTCTGTTATCCTACTTGATTTGAAATCCACCTTAATTAAGAGCAAACTGAAACCACAGTGTTTGAAATCCTATATTTAAAAATATATATATTTAGCCTTTATTCTGAAGGACAAACGAGTCATTTCCGGTTGTTGTTTTACAAAATACCTCAACTTTACATAGAGTCATTTAATTTTATTTATTTTGATTTATCCATATTCAAATTCAGAAAATATTGCACACTCTGCAATGTTTTTAATCAGACCATCTCAGGTCAAACAAAGATCTCCTCTGTTCACATCATTAATAATTAGTCCGTGGTTTGATACCAGGGTAGAAAGCAGAGCTTCAGGGCCTCGTCCAGTTTAAAGGCAACTGATGATGGCTGCCTCTCTCCTGTCCACCAGTTTCACCAGCTGGTCGGAAAATAAGCAGAGATGACCACCAACTAAAGGGATGTCACCAACTACACCAGTCTGCCACCTGCTGGTGCAGCCTGAGCACACAGAGCCATTACCTCCATCCTTGTATATCAGTCCATTAAACCTCATTACTAATTTTTCATTAATGCATATTTTTCATTAATGCACCTTGCTACAGAGCTGTCCTCAAACTCCCTATACCCCCATCTGTACACCCATGACTCATCCGGGTATTTCTGCAGGTGACTGGATCCCTGAGCTGAAAAGCCTAAAAAGGAATAGTGAGCGTACAGTTTCTCTATGTGAAGGTAAAAACTTAACTTTTATCATTGCATCATTGCATGAATGTTTTTAGATAAAAACATTCATGCAACGCTTCATTAAAAAAAGTATTTTTATTTTAGTCTATTATTTATTTAAGCGTGTGTCTGAAAAATAGATGAATTAAAAAGGATGAAAAAAAAAATCCTGATAAATGTTTTATTATAGTTTAAATATCCTTAACTCACACAACCTCACACTGGTGGGATTTATTTCCAACAGAAAAACTGGTTGTTCTGTTTTCTGTGATTGTTGCCTTCAGTTATTTTTCAACACTTTGGGAAAGTTTTCCTGTCTTGAACGCCCACATCATATCAAACAGCTGATTTCAAAATATGTGACGTCAGTGACAACATCCGGTTAAGATAGTTGATTTCAAAATAAACCACCAAGAATAAGACTAAAGAAACAAAAAATTATTTACATGATAAATATTTCATCTTGTTTTATAGCAACATGTAGAAATAACTTTGGTCTTACCTGTTTAATTAACTTTTTTTATTTTTTTGATTGTGTTTCTGCAGGCGGGAATTGTCAAGAGTACTGGATGCATCACCATGGCAACAGCCTCCTATGGCAACCTGCTGGATACCAGTTTCTCTCTTCCGACAGAACCACAGCCTCATCCTCCTGAAATTGCAGTCTATTTTACTCCGTCTGATGTTGAAACACATCGTATTGTTTTATATATATTTATTGTAGAATTTTCCCCCTGAAACGCACACAAACCTCTTTCTGTGGTTCTGTGGATTTTTGTCTCAGCTAGAACTTCTGTTCTATTCACATCATGACACAGGAACCTTTTACAGACAGCAGAGTGTGGAGACCTATAGAAAATTACACAGATAAAGCTCATTTGACAGATAAACTGAAGACACCACTATGTCTCTATGTTCATCGAGCTTCAAAAAGAAAGAAAGAAAGAAAGAAACAAACAAACAAACAAACAGACAAACATTATTTTGAAAATCCTTACCGGAAGTCGCACTGTTTAGCCTGCAGCTAACGGAGAACTCATTTGAAACTTGGCTAATGTGCAAGAGTAGAGGAAGGAGAGTCCTGGACTGAACCTCCAGAGTGTCCCCTAAAGAATAAAATGTGTTGCTTCATCTTTTGTTACCACCGCAGGTAAGAAGAGATGTCCTCAGTCTCTGCCGTCCTGTGTGTCTGCTGTCCTCTGTCTCTGCCGTCCTGTGTCTCTGCCGTCCTCAGTCTCTGCCGTCCCTTGTCTCAGCTGTCCTCAGTCTCTGCCGTGCTAAGTCTCTGCCGTCCTCTGTCTCTGCGGTGTCTCTGCCGTCCCTTGTCTCTGCCATCCCTTGTCTCTGCCGTCCTCAGTCTCTGCCTTCCTGTGTCTCTGCTGTCCTCAGTCTCTGCCGTCCTCAGTCTCTGCCGTCCTCTGTCTCTGCTGTCCTGTGTCTCTGCCTTCCTTTGTCTCTGCTGTCCTGTGTCTCTGCCTTCCTGTGTCTCTGCTATCCTCAGTCTCATCCGTCCTCAGTCTCTGCCGTCCTCTGTCTCTGCGGTCCTGTGTCTCTGCTGTCCTGTGTCTCTGCCTTCCTGTGTCTCTGCTATCCTCAGTCTCTGCCGTCCTCTGTCTCTGCGGTCCTGTGTCTCTGTCGTCCTGTGTCTCTGCCTTCCTGTGTCTCTGCTATCCTCAGTCTCTTCCGTCCTCAGTCTCTGCCGTCCTCTGTCTCTGCTGTCCTGTGTCTCTGCCTTCCTGTGTCTCTGCCATCCTCAGTCTCTGCCTTACTGTGTCTCTGCCGTCCTCTGTCTCTGCTGTCCTGTGTCTCTGCCTTCCTGTGTCTCTGCTATCCCCAGTCTCTTCCGTCCTCTGTCTCTGCGGTCCTGTGTCTCTGCCGTCCTCAGTCTCTGCCTTACTGTGTCTCTGCCGTCCTCTGTCTCTGCCTTACTGTGTCTCTGCCATCCTTAGTCTCTGCCTTACTGTGTCTCTGCCATCCTCTGTCTCTGCCTTCCTGTGTCTCTGCTATCCTCAGTCTCTTCCGTCCTCTGTCTCTGCGGTCCTGTGTCTCTGCCATCCTCAGTCTCTGCCTTACTGTGTCTCTGCCGTCCTCTGTCTCTGCTTTCCTGTGTCTCTGCTTTCCTGTGTCTCTGCCTTCCTGTGTCTCTGCCTTCCTGTGTCTCTGCTGTCCTCTGTCTCTGCTTTCCTCAGTCTCTGCCGTCCTCTGTCCCTGCTGTCCTCTGGGGACACCAGAATCACTGACAGTAGTTCTGATCCTTGTGGTGGGTCCAGTTCTAATAATGAACACGTAAGCGTGAAAATGATCAGTTGACTGAACAGTTGACATGATTCTGGTGTTATGAGGAAATCTGTCACCCGTCATAAACTGTGACCCAAGGGGACGCTTGCATGCATTTCTCAATGGTATACATTGAGACTTTAGTTTTAAGGTATGAATCCAGTGAAGTTAGGTTTAGTAGATTGCAGGCTGATACTTGAGTCATAATATATGACAGGTCACATGCATTATTTGATGCACTGGACTTCTCCCACTGGATGTCAGTGGGTTTTGGGATTCCGCCATCAGACTCTGGGACCTGGAATTTCAAATCAAATAAAAAATATATATATAATCTGAAAAGAGAACTTTGGATCACTCAGTTCGGTTCTGGTTCTCCTCAGGTAAGACGATTCTGACATCTCCGGTTTGGGAGCAGAATAATAACAGAGGAGTAAACCAACTCATGTTGTGCATAAAACTGTAAAGTAATTATTTTAGGTTGCAACTCCAGCTGTGAACCAAAATATTGAATGGGCTTTGCTTCCCAGTCCTGCACAGGCTGCATTTTTCTACTCATCTTTCTTTGAATATGCAGCAGTCTGTGAATGAGCTAATGGTTTCCCGTCCCCAGTGACTGTCAGAAGCAGAAACATTTGAACCAATCAGAGCTCTTTGGACCTCACCTGAAGAACCTCTTACTGATGTTGGACCTGTAGACTCAGCATATCTCCGTCTGCTTGCCTAACAGCAGGTACATTTTTGTTTTTCAGATGAATCCTGTCTGACGGAAACTTATGGACAGACTGGGCTGCATGCGCCGACCCTGCAGGGTCAGCGAATCCCCCAAGGTCAGTGATTGAAATAGGGACGTTCTGGGAGGAGAATATTTAGGTGTGTCTATATCAGATCTCTGACCAGTCCACTGTTGCTGGCAGATCTTCCGCTCCACGGACCAGGCTGTTGAGGTGCTGCAGGGCTTCAACGACCAGCGGCAACAAAACCGCTTCTGTGACGTAGTGCTGGTCGCTGACGGCCAGCGCTTCTCTGCACACCGGGCCCTTCTGGCCATCTCCAGCCCGTACTTCCATGCCATGTTCACCCTGGGTATGAAGGAGGAGCACCAGCAGGAGGTTAGTGGTCACGCTCCTCCATCATTCCATCCATTTCATTTACCAGCAGACCCCAGCATTACGCATTCACCTCCATGCTTCAGTCTTGTGTTTTATACCCTAGAATTTGAAACTTTGGATAGTTTCTATGTAGTGCGAAGGAATCCAAATGGATGCAGATAGAGATGAAGCTTCCAGAGATTAATCTTTTTTTTTTTCATTTGTCAAAGCAAACGCGGTAAACTGGACTGATCTGGGAAGTAAAAGGGGAGCATTGACAGATCTGAGAGACCGGTCCTCTTCTGTCCACAGGTGGAGTTGGTTGGGATGTCCTACGAGGGTCTGAAGGCCGTGGTGGACTTCCTGTACAGCGGGGAACTTCTGTTGGATGGAGGAAACATCGACTGCGTGCTGGAGGCTGCTCACCTGCTCCAGGTGAGGCCAGTTCAACAGATTACAGCAGACAGGTAGACCACATGAGAGGAACCACCACCAGCTGGATCTAGCTTCCATCAGAAGCTCATCAGTCAGGGTTGGTGTGGTGACACCTGCCTCTGTATCCCTCTGGAAGTCTCCATGTGGATTTATTATCACAACCAATCAGAGCGTCAGTTAAATAAGCCAAACATCACCAAATGCAACAGCTTTTATCTACAGGCTCCAACCTGCTAAATCTGATCAGCCTTACGTTTGCTTTGGAACTGCAGCTTGCAGATTTACTGATGGAACCATTTATGGTGGTTGTTCTTTAGAACGAGGATGCAGACTTCCTGCTGTGTCTGCAGGTACAAAGGGTGGTTCCCAAATAATGGAAAAAATTAATCGATCCATCCACTACCAAGATGCATTGATATTTATCCATCTGATGAGGTTTTGGTACCAAAAACTGAAGCTGTAAAAACTACTAAAGCCCAAAGAAAACCCCTGAAATAAGCCCTGTTGTTGGATTAGCCTCTTTAAAAGCCCACACTAAAGGAAAGGACAGTTCCTTAGTACTTTAAGTCCAGATATTGAGCCTTTTTTTTGTTATTAAAGTCCAGTTAGGAGGTCAATAACAGGAGATGATTATTCACTACCTGCTTTGTTTTTGATCTCCAGCTGTGGCGCACGGTGGACTTCTGCTGCCAGTACCTGGAGCGGGAGGTGAGCGAGGAAAACTACCTCTACCTGCAGGAGCTGGCGCAGCTCTACAGTCTGGAGCGCCTCGACAGCTTCATTGACCACTTCATCCTCGCTCGATTCGCCACTCTCTCTTTCACTCCTGACTTTCTTCAAAACGTTCCCCTGCACAAGCTCTCCTCCTACCTCTCCAGCAGCCAGGTAAGACCGCTGCAGTCATCCTCTTATCCTCATCCATGCAGCAGTTTATTAGGAAGCCCGCTCTGGTTCTCCATCAGGTCCAGCATGACAGTGAGCAGGCTCTTCTGCAGGCGGCTCTGCAGTGGCTCGGACAGAGCCCGGAGCGAGCTCTCCACGCCAAAGAGCTCCTGTCCCATATTCGGTTCCCACTGATCCCGATGGAAGACCTGGTGAGCCTGGTGCTGCCGGCGGTGCGGGCCCTGCTGCCTGAGGGGGCCGGCTGTGAGGAACTGGTGGAGGAGGCGTTGGGGTACCACGCACGGCCAAGCGCTCAGCCACTGCTCCAAACATCAAGAACCACACTGAGGGGAGGGGTGGAACAGCTCCTGCTGATTGGAGGAGAGGTACTGATGGATGCCAACGAGCATGGTTGGATTAAAAAAGTTACAAGTTTCTTACTGTCAGTGGATCTGTTCTACATAGTGATGTTAGGCTGTGTCTGCTCGACACAGCTTTGGCCTTTTTGAAGTAGAATTGTGCTGAGAAGTGTTTCGAGTGCACCCCAGGCACGTGAACGTCGCACGCAAGGCATCGTTACGTCAGACTTGTGTTAAGCTTCACAGTAAATTTGAATAATCTCGTTGTGTTAATACTACTGGAGCATTTAGATGCATCAGAATCATGGCTCAAACAGCGGGTTTTCCCATTTACAGTTTTATTCAAAGACAGAAAGAAATTTTAAATTTATGTCTACTTTAGAATTGATTCAGAATAGTTTGTCACATACATAAATCTAAAATAGACGGAGACACGCACATTACAGACACACATCTATACCCACCTCAGTCATCCACTGAATAATATATAACAGATATTTCTTCACACAGCAAATCTAAACAGTTATTTATGCTTCTCTATTAATGTGATCATCTTCATCTGTCAGAACCAGAACAGGAACGTGAAGAACCTGTGGGAACTACTGGGGAGCAGAGTTGGTTTGAATCATTTAAAATATCAGAACAATTTAAAAGGATTATATGTTTTTATATAGTTGTAGGTGCAGCCCACCCAAATAATAGGTCGCATTGGCTGAGAAGTTTCCACTGTAATAGAGCCTGGAAACCAGGATGGATTAGAGCTTGGAGCCATAGTCATAGGAGCACACAGTGATATAACTGTTAGGCATCAGAAAAGCTGTTTATCATATTGTAGTTTTACTGGTCAGATATTAGTTCTTTTTATTATTCATTTATTTAGTCATTATCAATATTATTATTATTATGGAAATAAACCAGTTCAAGTGTGAAATATGCAGGGATATCCGCTCAATTGTAGTTCTAAAAATTATCCAGCAGATGCCGCCATTCTAAACAGTTTTAAATGTATCGAGCATGGTATCGAATTCTAGAGGATTGTGTCAAATTTGGTTTATTGATTCACTGGGCTTGGATCCCTGCATAGGATGAGCCTTAAATTAAAGTGTGACTCACTCCAAAAAACAACTTATTTGCAGATAAACAATATAAATGGTGCCTGTGGGGTGTAAATTAAATGTTTAAAATGTTTTTATTGCTTGTTTATTTCTGTAATTTTGACTTAAAACAGTGACAGTGTTGCCCTCTCAGGATAAATGCTGGTCTTTGCGTTTGATTTATTTATATTATATTTATATTAATTCAATGGTACATTATGGTACAAGCTTTCTTAAAGGAATAGTACACCCAAAACATTATTAGCCTTCATTTTCTACTTACCCCCATGCTGAACAACACTCTGGAGTACTTTTTTGATATCTCAAATGCATCTGGAGATCTGGGAGGCTTCTTGCTGTCTGCTGACATTCAAATAATGGAGGTCTATGGTGACCGAGACAGAAAGGTCCATAAAAGTCCACAAAAACGTGTCAATATTCCTCCATACTGCTCGTCCAATGTATTCCAAGTGTCCTGAGTGGGTAGCATCCAGAATTTACTCGAAACGAAGTCATTTAGAATGTTTTTAGAGCATAAACAGTAGTGTATAGGATTTCCTGAAAGCGCGCGCCGGCGCGTTCACGACGCTACGGAAGCCGGCAGACCAAACCAGATGAAAGTGCGCATTCAGCGTCTGCTCTGACGATAATGCAAGCGTAGAAGAAGAAATGTGCTGTTTACCTGTGCAAAGAAAGAAACAACGAAAGAAAAAATGTCTGAGGACTTCAGTGCTGAGGAAGAGCATGAGTTCTTTGCCGAGCTGAATGCGCACTTTCATCCGGTTTGGTCTGCCGCGGTTTCCGTAGTGTCGTGAACGCGCTTTCAGGAAATCCTATACACTACTGTTTATGCTCTAAAAACATTCTAAATGACTTCGTTTCGAGTTAATTCTGGATGCTACCCACTCAGGACACTTGGAATACATTGGACGAGCAGTATGGAGGAATATTGACACGTTTTTTGTGGACTTTTATGGACCTTTCTGTCTCGGGCACCATGGACCTCCATTATTTGAATGTCAGCAGACAGCAAGAAGCCTCCCAGATCTCCAGATGCATTTGAGATATCAAAAAAGTACTCCAGAGTGTTGTTCAGCATGGGGGTGAGTAGGAAATGAAGGCTAATCATGTTTTGGGTGTACTATTCCTTTAAGTGTAAACAGCACTGATGAACATCCTGCGGTAGATGAGGGAGGCTCTACAGGGACAGTCACTTAAACCTTCAACTCTGCTGACATATTGAATAATTCAACAACATTCATTTAAATTATGAGAATTATTAACAAAAATTATTTAAAATAGATTGAATTATGCAATGACATCACATTTCATCTTGGATTTTATAATTGAGAATAGAAGTTTATAATAATTGAATAATTTGGAATGAGGTCAAATTAGTTTTCAAACTGATTTAGAGCAAATGGATTTAAAGCAATTTACACTGTGATTCCAAACTTAAATAAAACTTATTTTGGTTAAAAAGATTTTTTAAAGAACACTTTTCGTTTAGATAATTGATTTCGTTTTTTTAAGTTATGCACTTTTTCTTGAGGGATTATTTCAGCCAGGAGGCGTTGTAGGCGGTGTTTAGGTCGATATGAATTACCTCTGTTAGGACAGAAGAGCTAATGGCTAGCAGATGTGAGGGAATTTGTTTAAAAAGACTTCTCAGTCATATTTGAGTAACTAAATCTAATAAGCTGATCAGAAAACACAAAAACATTAACATCATGTTAGGTCTTAAATCTTTATTTAAATAAAGTTTGTCATAAGGTTATAAATGACACTTGTAAAAGCTTAGCATCTGCTTCAAGACTGCTATACCAGCGTTATTTGCTTAGGTCAGTTTTTAAAACTCAGTAAAATCAGATATATTTAAATAATCTAATCCAAATTGTGTTGCTCTCATCGCTGCTGGAACCTTTAACCTTTGATTATATCTGTTGAGAGGGAGGTGAGGGGTTTCTGGTGGTCTGGAGAAGCTTAGCTTCTCAGCTTGTCTGAGAGTGGCCAGCCCGTCTGGGAGGGTTTGCTGACTCTTGTCAGCGGATAAAGGAGTGCTTTGTATGGAGAACACTGGGTTTTCCAGGGAGCATCTGCAGAGGATGCAGCGGTGTCTTGGAAACTCCCTCCTTATTAGTGTTCTGAAAGGATCTCATCTTTCAGTCTGAAAATACACTTCCTAATAATAATAATTGAACTAACATTGGAGAAATTCCCTCTCTGCATTTAACCCATCCGCTTGGGGAGCAGGGTGCTGCCATTGGTTGGCACCCGGGGGGTGAAGTGTTTTGCTCAGGAACCCAGAGTGGAAGCAGTGGGATTCGACGCGGTACTTGCAATCTTCTCAGAGTATAAGCACACTGATCTAACCCTCTAGGGCCAACACTTCCCTAAAAACTGGGTTAAGAGCACACACCTGGTGATAATCCTTCACAACTTGGGCGTATTCTTGCAACTCTTGTTCAATAGGTATTCACCCCCGAAGACTGTTTCTTGGCAGTACAGCATCCTTGTCCAACCCATGCTCAATAGTTAAGCCGTGCACATGTTCATCTCATAGCTATCACAGAGGCCTTTAAGCCCATGATTGAGATTAGGTAAACTCCTGACTATTTGATATAATATATCTGGGTGGAAACGTTTGGTCAGTCAGTGAGGACCAAGGTTGGGTTTGTAGACCTATGGTGTTGGTTCTCTATGAAGAGCTCCCTGTTTCTCTGGTTGTTAAGGTGTTTGAGCGCGGACAGGAGCTGAGTGCCAACGTCTGCTGGCTGGACAGCGAGACAGGAAGCTGGGAGCTGGAGACGGAGCTTCCAGCCCGGCGCAGCCACCACTGCCTGGCCGTCCTAGGAGGCTTCATCTTCGCTGCAGGCGGAAGCTCCTCCAGGGACAACGGAGGAGATGCTGCTTGTAACCTGCTGTACAGATACGACCCACGACTCAACCTGTGGACCATGGTGAGGGGACAACCAACCTCCTTGTGGTAGATGGTCTTCTTTTTGCGTTCTGCTCCATTACAGTGTGACATTTCCCAGGGAGCTCCGATGAACCAGCCGCGGGTGGACTTTTACCTGGGAGCTGTGGGAGAGTCCCTGATCGCCGTGGGAGGCAGAAATGGCAGCGGAGCGCTTTCGTCTGTGGAGATTTATCATCCTGCTAAGGACTGCTGGTCCTACGTAGCACAACTCCCCAGGTAGGACAACCTATCTGTTGCGTCTTCTGCTTTTTAAGCAAAATATCAGGATCTCCTCTGGCATTTTACAGTCAGTTAGAGGTTTTCACAAAATCCAATAACAAAACACTTGAGGAGAAATGACCAACTACCTCCAGAGGTCCTCTGATCAGTAACCCGATCTGGCCTCAGAGGAGAACAATCAGTTTCATGGAGACCATGAAGGTTCTTCGTGGAAGAGAGAAATAATTAGAGGACCATGGTAACTCTGGAGGAGCTGCAGAGATCCACAGCTTAAGAGACGGAATCTGTCCACATGACAATTGGTGGACTGTAAGGCTGGGTGCCTGGACGAATCCTTCGACCATTGACGATAGACTAAAAATAGGTTTAAAAGGAGGAAAAACTTTTTTCTTTTTTTTAGCTACAGGTTGAGAAGCAGCCCATGAAAAATAAAACAAACAAACAAAAGAAAAAAACCTAATGCTGTTTAACAGTACACACAAACTCTTTCCAGCTGCAGCTTTTTTCCTCCAGTGTCACCGTGCAGCAGCGATTTATCTACTTCAACTTGAGACAGAAAGAAGAAGGAACTGATCCAAACCAATATTTTTTTTTATACAGCTGAAGCAGAACCAGAGAAATGTTTTTTACAGGCAACTCCATGTGTCACAGATACAAAATTAAACACAGAAAAGAAGAAAATGCTCCAAGTAAAGCTGTGCACTTTCCATTAAAGAAATGCTTTTAATCTCGCCCCCAGTTTTCAGTCTTTTCGATTTTTGCTTTTCTGCTTTCACACCCAAGAGCATCACAAGCTCTTTCAGGTCGAAGGTGATAACTGAATGGCTTCAATCCTCCTCATAACTCCGGGGAGGAAGTTATGCGCCATCTTCTCTGTCCCGTTCGTGCGCTGTCGTGCGCCGCACAGAGCGCCTGTTTGTGCATTACAGAGGGAATCCTGCAGGACAGCCTTTGACTGCTCAGCGTCTCTCACACTGGCTGTGTGAGGGTATTTCACAGGCTTTTACTTCTTCTGGATTGGAGCCTCCAGAAAAGCTCAGAGCTCAACTACTCGAGGGGGGGCACCATGGAGAGCTCTAGAAAAAAATTCCCTCTCAGATAGTCTCAGAATGCCCCATTTTATCTTCATTTAAAAAAAGTGCACCCCAGAAAGCGGGGAGGACACCCCCTTACACTCCCCAACCCCTCTTGCTGCTCCCTCATACCTAAAAATCCTAGAAAAAGCCCTGCTCTGTATAAAAGAGCAACAGTTAAACTAGAGATACAGCAGACCTGTAGAAGGAGATCTGATCATTGAAGACCTGCAGCCGAAGGTTGTTCTACAAAGTAATGATTTAGGAGCCCAGACATGCCGCACTGTTCAGATTTTAATCCATAGAAACCAAGAATCCCAGTTCCGGTCCACTGCATTAGTAGAACAGAAATAACTAACGTCTTTTTTTTTTACTCTCTAATCTGAACCCCAAAATATTCACATTTCAACCGAATTAAAACGCTTTTAAAACATTTTTAAGGAGGAAGTTTTAAAAACAATATAATTTACATTTTCTTAAAAAAAAAAATAAAAAATCAGTTTACTTTTGATATTATACTGGTGGAGGGGTGACATGGGCGTTGGGTGCAGGAGTTTGCCCTGCAATTAGAGGGTTGTTGGTTCAAGCCCTGGCTCCAGCTTTCGGTGCCGTTGTGTCCTTGGGCAAGACACTTCATGTGCATTGTCCACTGATGGTGGTCAGAGGGCCCGGTGACGCCAGTAACAGCATTCTGGTTTCTATTAGTGAGCCCCAGGGCAGCTGTGGCTACAATGTAGCTCACCACCATCAGTGTGTGTGTGTGTGTGTGTGTGTGTGTGTGTGTGTGTGTGTGTGTGTGTGTGTGTGTGTGTTAACGGGTGAATGACTGAATGTTTTTTAAGGTGCTTTGGTCAAGTCTTCTGACTGTCCTCACTGTCACCCTAATCTTTACCTCCCTCCATGAGATTCAGGACTGGACCTCATCGGACTGCTCCAGAACATTCCTGATGCAGCCAGTCAGAATAAAAGGGTTGCAGGTTACACTGGCGATCGTGAGAAGCACCAGCAGGGGTCACTGTCCAGTTTGTAGTTTCTTTGTCTGATCTACTGTGAATTCTGTAAAGTTCTTCTAGGTCTATTCTGAATTTTGTTTCTGTTCCTCTTGGTTCAGGTAACACTTTCAGTGTCCTGACACATATAGTAAATTCTGGTTAAAACTGATCTCTGGGCTTCGTTCTACAGAAGCTGAATCCTACTCCATTTTTTTGGTGTTTCAGGTTCACTTACGGTCATGCTGGCACTGTCCACCAAGGCGTGGTCTACATCTCAGGTGGTCACGACTACCAGATAGGACCATACCGCAAGGACTTCCTGAGCTACGACCCATCCCGGGACGGGGAGGTGTGGCGAGAGCGGCAGCCCATGTCTCTGGCTCGGGGCTGGCACTGCATGGCCTCCTTGGACCACCTCATCTACGCCATTGGTGGTAGCGACGATCACGCCGACACCACCGAGCGCTTTGACGTCCTACAGGTGGAGTCCTACGACCCACTGTCCGGCCAGTGGTCCCGGGTGGCACCACTGCTGCTGCCCAACAGCGAGGCGGGGCTGGCGGTCTGGGCTGGGAAGATTTACATTCTGGGAGGCTACAGCTGGGAGAGCATGGCTTTCTCTAGAGTCACCCAGGTGTACGACCCCGACACAGGGTCCTGGTCCAGAGGGCCCGACCTGCCCAAAAGAATCGCTGGAGCGTCGGCGTGCGTGTGTATCGTCAGGCCCTCGGCTCAGCCGGCTGCACCAGAGAAGAAGAAAACGGGCCGAGGGGTAAGAGGGAGATCCCAGCCAACGTAGGGTTCTGGTTCTTCTATTGGGTTAGAACCACCCAGCTTCAAACATGGACAGAGGAGGAGCTTCAAGAACAACATTTAACCATATGACTTTTCTTCTGGTAAATCTGAAGAGTAAGACCTAATGGATATCCTCACTGATAGGGACTGACTGCAGATGAGAAGAACCACAGCAAAAAGTCCCAGGAGCTCTGTAGATTTGATCTAGTTTAGATTAATCTGTGGATCAAACTGCAGGTGCGTTTAGGTATGGAGACAATATCTGCAGAGAAGAAACTCTGGGTTGTTAGGAGCCAAACACCTTCAGCATCAGAGAAGAAAACTATTCTACAAATCTCAACAAAAAGAGGTCAATGTGGGGCTAAACAGCTAAAGTTTGGACTTATTTGGATCTTCCAGCAGGACAGGGGTTCTAAATAGACCCAAGCAGGTCTTAAGTGACGAAGAAAAACATTTTCCTGAATGCTTCTGAAGTTCCAACATCGATCAAATGTTGACCTTTTAGGATGAAACTCAGGGTCAATTTTAACACCATTATTTTTTTATTTATTTGAAAGAAAGCAAATAGCAGAACTTTAATGAATCTGAAAAAATTTGTAGATTCAAACATGATGTAAGATTCTTGTAAAAAAAAAAAAAATGACAATAGAAGCCAGAACACAGCATGACATTCGTGTCTGTGATGATTGACGGGTCAGCAGAACACTGTCAGACTAAATCGACACAGAAAACTCTCAGCAATAAATGCAGCATGAAGAGGAAGAGATGAGTGAATCATAAAAACATCAGGAGGATGTGTCTCTGAGGCTATTAAAATGAATAAATCAGAGTCAACTGGACCGTCTGTTACATCACAATTGTTTACCGTAATAAACAATCCAAACCCACACGGTGTGTTTTCCTTTCAAACAAAGGCTCATAGTAGTTTGTTGAGGTCGGAGCATCATTTGGGCCAGTTTCACGCTGTCACTCCTCCAGCTGCATCACTGAAACGGGTAGTATGGATGGGACTTGATTCTGGGGAACACAACAGCAGTCACAATGTGGACCTGAGCATCACCAGCAGCAGAATCTGGATTGTGACTTACTCCTCGAGTAAGCAGGCCTTCCAGCCTCGGTCCAGGCCTCTCAGGGTGTTCATGTCATCCTCAGTAAGGCTAAAGTCAAAGATCTGGAGCAGGTTGAGAGTCAGTCCAATCAAACCTGGAACTGTTTTAGTGATGTGTTGTTCTATGCAAATGTTTGGGTTCTACCTTTGTGTTTTCCAGGATGTGATGAGGTTTGTCACTTTTAGGGATGACGGGGATATCCTGCTGCACGTGATACCTCAGCAGAACCTGTCAAAACATTCATTAGAGCAGGAACACAAACACACACGCTGTGGTGCACACTGACTGACCTGTGCAGAGCTGCGCTGGTGCTTCTTTGCTATTTCTGCAACCACAGGGTCTTCCAGCAGCTTTTGGGGATCAGCTTCATCTCTTTTCCTGCAACAGACAAAACAAACAGAGGCTGGTAGCTGGAAGAGTAGGGGACAGGCAGCCTTGTGGTTAGGGCATAGAGCTTCAAATCCTGAGTTTGTGAGTTCAAAAACCAAACCCACAGACTGCCACTCTGGGTCCCTGAGCAAGACGCTTAACCCCTAAATGCTCCCCGGGCGTCCCACTATGGCAGCCCACTGCTCCCCCACAGGATGGGATAAATGCAAAGGTAAATTTCTCCAGTGTGAGATCAATAAAGTTCAGTTATTCTTATTAAGAGGAGAATTACTGTACCCTGCTTAACCTAAGAAAATTCATCCTTTAAAAACTGAACTATCATCTCACAACAACTCAACCTTTATTTCACAACATTTTTTAGGGATAATCTTTTTTTTTTAAGTTTCTGTAAATAAGGACTGCAGTTAACGGCTGCTTACCTGTGCAGCTGTCTTTATCGTACAGATAATGACCATTTTCCACATGTTCTTGATTATCCTCCTGCAGAAGTTTCAATTTTTAGGAGTATTTCAAACGGTTCAAGCTGTGGTGCTCTCTAATGTTTAAAGGAATTAAATTAAAGTCAGAACATTTGTGTTGGCGGTGGTAGGAGTGAAAAGCTTTCCTGTGGCCTTGTTGTCATGAGTGTTACAGATATTTTTCCTCCCTTCCCATCCTCCTCACTGTGTTGGAAAATTAACTAAATTCTGGTCCAATGTTTTCTATCTGGTTTGAAATGCATAAACCTTTATAAAATAATAATTTAACCTTAAACTTGGACATGTTAAGGCCAGCAGCAGGTTTCCTTTGGGCACTTCCTGACCGAAGAAGTTTATAATTCATCTGCCATGTTCAAAAGGATGTTTTATGGTTTGCCCTCTTTAGAAGAGCACATACACAGGCCTTTAAATAAACAGTGTTTCCAGTGTGAGGGTCAATAAATCATACATAGAAATTGATAATTTCTTCATTTGGATTTTAAAATCCCTCATTAGAGGCTGAAGATCTGAAATTCTTCAAAGTGAAATGATGCTGTTGTAATAAACTTTCATTTTGAGGGATACTAGGTTTCAATAATTGTTGAGGTGACCATAAAGGAACCAAAGTACAAACACACACAGTTTCAAGTTTATCTTGGGGTACAATGACAATAAAGTTGTTTTTATTCTAAAAAGGTAAGTGGATGCTGAACTTCTTAAAGAAGACAAAAAGAGTGTTCTCACAGCTACCAGATATTTTTTTTTAAACTAGCAGAGATATAAAGCTGCTGTTGGCTGTGAAAAAAAAAAAAAAAAAAACTAGCAGAGATATAAAGCTGCTGTTGGCTGTGAAGTCACTCAGTGCTGCAATAACTACTATTTTGAAAGATTCAATCTAAACAATTTTGTATTTGCAGCTGAGGAAGCAGATCTATTGGGAAGATAGGTGGAAATAGTTTGGTTTGTACTGTAAGGAAGTGGATCTTACATTTCTGGGGGCCTTTCTGGTGAACCGAAAGGGCTGTAGGCCGTCAGTGTGATGTTTTTGGATTTGCAGTACTCAATGAGGTCTTTCTGAACCATGTAAGGATGAAGCTCCACCTGTCAGAGGAAAGACATCAATAGATGCAGATTTTTTGGTTTTCAGATTTTCATCAAAATATTTAATTCATATAGGTTAGCTGTTAAGTTTTCCTCCTTAACCAGGTTCATAAAAGTGATAAACCTCACATGATGTCGAGAAATAACTATGATTGGTTCAGATTTAAATGGAATGTAAATTAAAATTAAAGATCCTGTCGCTAAAAATGTGGTGTTCGGTAAATTTATTGCCCCTTTTCCATTGAAAATGTCACAATCACACCATTCTAATCCTCTCCGTTTGCCTGAGGTAGGTAAAATTTCACATTTCATGAGAAAGTTTTTGCTTTAGGATTGTACAGAAAAAAATAATGACTTGAAAAGTTATAGAAGCAGTTAGTTTTACATGTTAAATATTGGATATTCGGTAGACCGTTATTTGCATTAGATCAGCAGCTCCCTGCCTGCTCTCACCTCTGTAACATGTGGTTCAATTAGAGGCCATGAATAAATGTTTTAACCAAAAAGAAATACCTATTAGTGTATGTGACCCAGTGATACAAAACTAATCTCAGATTGTTGTACTAAACAGATGAGACACATTCCTTTTTATCTGATCTTTGGGTGAAGGTCCCCATGTGTAGAAGGTAAATAGGGGATTATTAAATACAGCAAGCCCACCAGAGTGTATTGCATGTACTTTTTGTTTTATTTTTCTGCCTTGAGTCATGGTTTATGGTTTGTAACTAAATTATCTTTCAGTTTGATCATTTAGTTAAACTTGTTAACATTTTCCCAGCACTTCTGGACCTCTTGTTTTTCCTTGTTCCGCAAACAATCAGCCTGTTCTTGTCACACATCAGCTCCTCTTGTGCCATCTCCTGAGCAGGCATAACAAAGGCCAATCTGGTCAAAATAAAATAACCAAAAAAGCTGTAATGGAACTGCTTGCAAAGGAAGGTGAGTTAAGTTGAGCTGGCCTAAATTTCTCCACTGTAAATAAAATCAATCAATCAATAACTTCAAGCATTAAGTGTCTTAAAATTGTGCTATAAAGATGCAATTCTTTATTATGACCCAAAGGACTGCTTTAAACATATTTTATGCACTAAAACCTTTTCCTTGCAATGTTTAACGCCCTGTCAAAATTTGTAAATTTCCAGACAAACTCCAAATGCAACCTCATTCACTAAGGAGAGCCTGTGGAGAATAGAGATCTGTTCTAATGAAACCATGTCTTATTCTTTTGAATCTCCCCCAGCAAGTTGCAACATGTTGACCAATGAGAATCTATCCAAGGGAAAAATGTGATACAAAAAATGATAAGTTCCCAGTGGGGAAGTCAAGGTGATACGATACAGCTACACGCTCTATCAAAATAAAAAGGAAAGGCTTGTATCAAGCCCCATGAGCTTTGATAGGAAAAACAAGCATCTGTTACAATAAATATGGTGTTCTCCGTGAGTAATGGTTATTACTCGAGAGAAGGAGGTGAAAGTCACAGTAGACCCACTTCTATTTAGATTAGATTACAGTACTGTGTGTTTCCTACCAAAACTGCAGGAGGAGAACCTTTCAGAATCATTATGCACAACAAATAACCAACATAGAGTAATCCCCTTTTCCTACAGTATCACACACTTGGCTTATTAGCATCTTTTACCTGATTAAATTTCAAAAATAAATGCAAAAAAATCTGTTTATGGTCAGTTTTCCCTGAGTACACCCCATGAAGATTTCAATGTTCTATATAAACAATACCTTCACCACATGCTTTCAACCCAAAAAGCTTCTAGCAGCATTAATCTTGTGGTGTCCCACACAGATCCCTCCTGTGAGTCCGGTCTGGAGCATTTATAGAGGATTAAAGACAGAACCTTGTATTAGTCTGCTTTACTCAGTCCAACCTAAATCATCTTTTCCAAGACCAACCCCCTAACAACCACCTGCATGAACAAGCAGCTGGTGGAAGTAGAATCAGGATGAGGTCTAGTTCACTGGTAGTGGTTCTGGTGCTGAATGGTTTGAGTCATAAATTATACAAAACACAATGATTAAATGTTGAAATAAAGATTATTCTAACTAGGGCTGGATAATTAATTGCATTTGTAATAAGTTGGCAGTTTTAAAATTTCTAACTTGCAGAGGCATTCGGTTGTTAGCCACATTACCTTTAACATAATGAAGACACGGCTCTTCCCATACATGTGATTTAGAGGTAAACACTGAATCCCTGCAATAATGGACTCTGGACAAGACAGCACTCCAAGCTATGAAAGCAATAAAATTCTGGAGCTAAAGATAAAAAGCTTTATCTCTTATCTGATATTACTTTGACCTGTTATTATGAAGGTTTTAACAGAAATAAGACTGTTACTTGTAATCTAAATTCTTACATTTTATATTCCGCTTTATATTCTATATTTTAAGGTGCTGCTTGTTCAAAAAGAAATTGAAGATAAAAGCACAGCAACTAGAAAAGTGGGTGAAGGTTTGTTTGCTTCGCTGCAGGTTCAAGGTATGAGTTATTGGCCCTATTTGATCTCACTGGAATATATCAAGTTTGGCAGAGAATTTCTAGTATCAATTACTGTGTTTATTTTGTGCAATTTGTAAGCATACAATAAATCAGTTTTCATATTCCTAAGATTAACTAGCAGAAATGCAGTTTGACCATAATAAAACATGAAATGTATCACATCTGTTCTCCGCATTGGCTCCATGTTAACCAATTGCATAAATGCTGAGTCACTAGCAGCTAGTTGGTGCTTTAACTCAGTTATTATTAGTAAGTATGTGTTTACTTTTTATGCTATTTTTTATAAAATGCTCTGATTTGGATGGTAATTGACTGTAAGGACCTTCAGCTAAAGTCTATATTAAGTTTTATAACTGTGTGTCTTTGCATTGTGTTTTAGGAGCACACAGGCACATACAAACATTCATAAAGAAATAAGGAAGCCAACCTGATCCACTACACCTTGGCTTAAAACATGTCTATTAGTAGCTTATATTTGCTGTTTGTGCTTTTGCAAAGGGAAATTAAAAAAATTGCAATGTTGCATTTTTTACAACAAAAAACCTACAGCCCTAGATCAGAATAATGTAATACTTAGTCATATATATCAATGCTTCCCAGCATGACAGGAAAGGGAGTTCAAATGAAGCACAGTGGTGGCAGCATCATGCTGGGTCTGCTTTGCTGCTGCTGCTGTATACTCTAACTGTTTATTATGTAGATGGAGGACTCCCTCCAAATTGCTAGCTAAAATCTGGACCTAATGAAAATTCCTACCAGGGCAATGATCCAAAACATCTAAGATCCATTTCTGAAACAGCAAAAGTAGTAATAAAGACATTAACTTAATTAAGTGTAAATCTCATTGAGAATACCTTCTTTTTTTCAAGAGGAACCTGGAGAACAGAGCATCTCTATAGCTACGAATGGAAAGTTAGCGAATGCACAAAGATTTAAACTCAGCACCTGGTTAACAGCAGGAGGAACCTTGCAGAGAGCCAGAAGTCTCTCCAGCTGAAGGATGCTGAAGTTGGACACACCAATGCTCTTCACCTTTCCTGAGGCCTGCAGAGCCTCCAAACCCTGAAAACAAACAACATATGCAGTATATAAATCTCTTGTGTGGTTTTACAGAGTTGATGAATGTATACCTGTTGCAAAGTCCTCAGTTTAATTTGCGTTATAAAGGGAATTTTATTGACAGCATTAATGCAGGACAGCTACTTGATCTTACCCTCCACACGTCAACATAATCTATGTCCAACGTCAGAAGCTTTCCATCCTTCCTTGGAAAAAGCTCATCCCCCATCCTCTGTGAATTAATAATTTAACAATTTTAATTAGTTATTTGCATTGTGGCTGCAAGACATCCTTCCATCTGAGCTGTGAATTTAGTTTAGTTTTGTAGCTTTTATTTTACTATAACTACAAGAAAATAACTATTCTTTTTAGTATCATTATTATTACTTTTATTGCTGTTTTTAATCCTTAGCTAAACCTATTTCTGACCAGCTTCCCTATCCACAGAATGATGCTTTCACCAACATTATTTTGTCAAGGGGGATGTACAGGGTAATCAACAGTATTAGTTTCCCTCGACAAATAGGACCTTGTCTACCAAATATGTTTCTACAACCAAAATTCAGACATGATATCACACATAAAGCTGATCTACAAACTAGACGTGCAGCATTTCACGTTTTTGCCTCCATGAATATGCAGAACATGTGCTGATCATCAGAATGGGCAAAATAGTGGGAGGAAGATAAAAATTACGTTAGGACTTAATATGTAATTATCAAACCTGAGACAAATTACAGGTGCAGTTCTTGTATCTACATAACTTGAAGTAGGGAAGACATATCATCTATAAAGTAATGCTATTTTTAGGGAAAACTCTTTGACATGGCATCTGGATTGATCATTCCAGGATTTGCTAGTTAGTTGTATCTGCTGGACATATTCTGGTCTACTGTCTATTGACGTCAAATGTATTTTAAAGGTGGGGGCTGGCTCAGGGGGTGATACATTAACTTGAACTTGTCTTTTGAAATTTTTCAAAAAAGGAAATCCTCATTTATTGATCAAACTTCAGCACTGGTGAATGTCAAGGTTCTCAAATTCCAGGGTGGATTTCAAATGTGATTTAATCAGTGGTCAAATTCATAAAGCTGTGCTAATACAGCTGCGGTGCTGAAAACTCACGATCCCCAGCAGCTACTTTCACCTCTTTCTTGATCTGCATGAGGCATGGTGATCAGTAGTAAGGGAAAATAAAAGATGTGTTTTCTTAAACAGCTGAACTTTTTTTTTTTTAAGAACTTCTGCTGGCAAACCAACCATCTTTTTCCCTTTAATTGTGTTAGGTAAACACTTATATATCAATTAAATAAAAAGGTACAGAAATTCTCCATTAATTAAAGAGGTGATCTCATGCGCGTCTGGAGAGATGAACGTTACTTAGTGACATTATGAAACATCAACCTTGACTTGTTCTGACACTTGGAATGGTCCAGATCCCAAAAGCTACTCTGCTATGTTTGAGTCTCCAATCATCTTATAGATGATTGTCCTGATAAATTTTTTTATTTGAGGCCAAAAGAGAAGATTCTCTCTCCAGTCCTCCAGCATCATACCTGCCGTCTGTGCAGAATGCTGCTGCCTTTGGGTTGTGAAAAATAAATCCTGTCTGTTCTCCCAAATTCTTTATGATGACAGTTAAATTCCAATAGGGCAGTCCACATCACTTTTGAATTACCGGTAGATGTCAGATGGGCTCCCTGCCTGTCTATATCACCCACAATTTTCTTGGCAATGCTGATATTGTTTAGTGTGGTGGCCAAAGAGAAGTTGGAATTGGTTCCAGAGATGGTTTAATACCTAGATAAAGACCAAGATATGGCAACAGGCTGAAATTAAGCTCTAATGGTGAACATATCACTTAAGGGCTGGTTATACTCCTGCAGCAGTTTGTCGCAGTGAGCTTATCGCAGATATTTTTTATTTATGCCCATATTTGAAGCATGGTCTGTGCTATGTTATTCCACACCACAACGCAAGAGGGAAAAGCTGTGGGTCTAGATACACCGAGGTAGTGGGGGCAAGTTTGTGCGACCATGGAGGGAAATGAGGGCAAAAAAGAGCGGAGATCCAGGTGGAAAAAGGGTCCAAGCGTTCAGCCATACCTCGCTCTTCTAGCTGGTCCAACTTCACGAGATGTTTTTCCGCAATGGCAATCATACAAACAAAACAAGCCAGTAAGGTACCAAACAGGAAATAGAGATAGTGTAAAGCGCATGTAGATTTGACCAATCAGAGGCCTCCTGTCTGCGGCACTGTCTTCGGACACCTACAATTTTGGAAAGGATGCAGTAGAGTGTCTGCGGAAGGGACAGGGGCACATTTACGTTCACTGCGACACACTTGAAGATAACCTGGTTTCTGAGTATAAATCAGCCTTTAGTGTTCAGATGATAATTATTTCCATGCATCTCTTTGAAAAAATAATGGGCTTGTATATTTTGTCGGAGTGCTGCTGAGAAACAGAAAAAGGAACCTGGAACATCAAAAATGTAACCACAGCTGTTTAGCACAGGTCATCCAAATCAAGTACACCTTGGCCTCTTACTGCATCTGGTTCGAACCTTTAAGCCGATGGGAAAGTGTATGAGGTAGAGATCCAGGTAGTCCAGCTGCAGATCCTGTAGGGACTTATTGAGGCAGACAGGGATGTCCTCTGGGGCAAAGTAGGTACACCACAGCTAAAAAGAAAAGAAAAAATGAAGACAAACTGACGTTCAAAGTAAACAAAAGTTTCCAGAGGATTTCAGCTGCTGTCTCACCTTACTAACGATGAACATGTCCTCCCGGCGAATGATGCCCTGCTGCATCTTGGACTTCAGAGCTTTGCCGATCTCCACCTCGTTATCGTAGCTGAATGCGGTGTCAATGTGGCGGTATCCGGCTGCGATGGCGGTCTCCACAGCGCCCTGGGTGGATGGCTCCTTAGAGGACTGACACAAGGAAAGGGTTCAGTCAGACCAGTCAGAGCTGGTGAGATAGCTTTGAGATCTGGCCCTGTAACCTGGCTTCATAACAGGGACATATAATGGGTATTCAACATGAGCCTCATTTTCTCGAACAGCGTTGATCATGCAAAGAGAGGCATTGGAAATATTGGCATTGACCAGATAAAAAAACAGCATATTCAACCTTCACAGACCCTAGAAGACTCTGCCTTTCACCAGATCAACACTTCTCTTCTCTTTCACATTTTGGTGATAAAAGCTGGTTATCTAAATACAGAAGCTGGTTTACAGATCAAGTGACCTCTAACCTTTCCTCTGAAATACCTTGAAAACTTCTTTCTGATTTTTCCAAAGCAAATCCTTCACAATGGCTTCTGCAAGATTTCAAGATTTATTGATGACTCATGCTGCCGCAGCTGCTTCGGGTCCAGTTTGCATGAAATAGTTGCATAATCTGGCTCCTTTACATCCTAAACATGCTGAAGCAAAGCAGGAAGCTGAAGAACTAGTTTTGCCAGGATATCATGCAGTAAAAGCAACACCAAGGCATGTAATGGAAGATAGAGACTGTACCTCAATAAGGCTTGTTCAAACATTAGTTTGCATATTTGAACTGCTTTTTGTTGTTGAAGTAAATCTTCCACCCTGTTTTCATAATAAAAATGATCTTTCTGTTGGAGATATTGAACTACAGAAATGTGCTCTAGCCTTCCATGGCTTTAAATAAGCTTTTTAGAGATGCAACAACCAGCCGTGCAGTGGTTCTGATAGTCGGGGCAAGACTGGAAAGGTTGAGGGGTCAGAGAGTCTAAGCCTAGCCTAACCTAAGTTCCTTAATGCAGAAGTTTCTCTGTAAATGGGTTTCTAACTCAGACTGGACCAATAAAAAGAACAGAGATCATTCTGACTCAGCAGGATTTGGCTCGTTTCTTATTTAGAGTTGGTGTTTTTTTTTTTTACTTCCTATCTTGAAAGGAAGGAGTAAAGCTCCGACTGTGAAACCCAACAGCACTAAATGTCTACCAGCTATGGCAGCATCATCTGCCACTGGTGTTGTTGTTGTGATAACAAATAACATCTACTTTGAATGTCCTCAACGAACCAACAAATAGACATAATTTAGATCCATAACAATATTGATTCAAAACTAAATTGGACATGTCCAAACTAAAATGGATAAAGCGGGCCATGATGAGTACCCCGTGTGTTTATATTCTGTTTTTAATGTTTTAAACTTTGGTAAAAAGATTATATTTAGGCTTTTTTTATTAATATAAACAATTAGTTACAGATCATCTTCTGTTCTCAGCATCAATAAATGTAATAGAATCTCAGATTAAATGCATTTAAGTGCATTTGTGTTTTAATTATTTCCTTTTGTCTCTTGTAAAGTGGACTTAATCTAAAACCCAAATTTGCATGAAGGTTTAGAATAAATCTGTCGAGGCAACTCACAGCAATTCATGCTGCTTAGAAACAATAAAGGTTTAGATGTTTAGATTTCAAATTAGCAGACCAATCTTCCTCCAACCGACCAATCACAGTTTCTGGTAACAGTTTTTAAACTTCAGGAAGCATATCAGTGTAGTTAATAACCCTCAATGTTCAAAGCAAAGCTAACCTTTCTACTCTGAGCTGCAGATATTTGAGTGTGTACCTTCCATGTTCCCAGACCCAGCAGCGGCATACGCCTGCCGTCATTCAGCTGAACATGTCTGACCACCTGTGTGTCCTCCATGGAGAGCTTTCAGTTCCAGCAGCACGAAAACTGTCACTGCAGTTGCTTTCCTCTTCCTCTTTTTTGTCTTCCTTTTTGCTGAATCAACCTGCTTCCTTTTCTTGGCTGATTTGACTTTGTTTCTCTTCCCCTGTGACTCAGTTTTTGCCCATTCACTCTTTTATTTCCTCCTTATCTAGTGGAAAGTTAATTATTGGGCAACGTTCAAAGTACTGCACCACCAACAAGTTCTTATAAGTAAAACTACGTGGGTACTGGCAGGTTTCAAAGGTCAATTTTCTCATATTTTACGCAGTGCACAGACACACATACACACACACACACGCAGTCTTTGTTTGCATGACTTTCAAGGACACTTCATTGACATACATTTAAATCATATGGCCTAACCAAGACCCTTACCCTAACCCAAACTATTACCAACATATACCTAACCTTAACCCCAACCCAAAGAAGAACACTTTACCATTTGGGTACCTATTGAATGTCCCCATTTGGACCACTTTGGACATTTAGGTCCCTACAACAGGGGATATTTGACAAACACTGCCCCCAGTTGTAGCTCAAACAAACACACACACACACACAAAAAGGCAAGTTTGTATTTCTCCCCATATTAGAACTTTTTATCCGCTGCTATTTTTACCTGTACATATCAATAAGGAGCGATGGGTCCTCATAAGATATTTTATTTCTAAAAAATGGGCCTCATACTGTAACAAATGCCAGAGCACACACACACGCACAGCATGCTGTAATGTCTTCGGATGACCAGAAGACTGAGATAAAGCCTCGATGGTCAGTGCAGCTCTGGATTTTATTTATTAAATCCAAGGAATTAATCTTTTTCTAAAAAAAAAAATATTCACTGATATAAAAAGCTGGTCTGAACTAAACCTAATCAGAATTGTATTAAAGCTACAGTGTGTAACTTTTAGCGACATCTAGCGGTCACACTGCAGACTGCAGCAACATGAACATCTCCCCCCCACCGCTTCTCCCCCCCAACAGTACGGCGAGCGTTACGGGACAAAATGTCTTCCACGACGTCCCATCACCTACCTTCTCAAGTGATGAGGTTTG